CCCCAAAACCCCAAAACCCCAAAACCCCATGTGGAAAATTGATTGAAATAGGAGTGATAGGAAAATTTGATTTAAATTATTATTTCAGATAAGTTATTAAGTCAGGCAATCAGTAATGGAGAACTCTATAGAATTACTTAATCTACCTAAGAAGGCTGCAGTTGGTTAATTTTTTAATCTCAATGACTATGCGAAATCCAGACTGCTTTATGACATGCTTATGAGTATAAAGCTTAAATGCAAGCTCTCTCCAGATTACATTATTCTGGTCATGGATGAATACTCAACTTCCCTGATTTCAAGTTTCTGCAGTATGTTTGATTTGATGGAGGCAGGAAATGTTTATCAGATAGAGAAGATTGATAAGTTCCGTAAACGCTATCCCATGTCAGATGTTATTTATCTAGTTGAGCCAGTCCCTGCTTCTATCAACAAGATTATACAGGATTTCCCTGAGTAAGATGAAAAATATTCATATGATCACTACGGGGATGTCCATCTATGCTTCCTTACTACTATCCCAAATGAATAACTTGATAAAATTTTTAAAGCCCCCAAGTTAGTTTAAAAAGTTAAGACATTTTACGAAGTAAATTTGGACTTTACCGTTTGGTAAGATAATATTTTCAAAATATTGGTCAAGAATAATTCTATGATGAAGATGATTGATAAACCTAATCAAACTATAATTGAGTAACTATCTCACAAGTTATTTAGTCTTTGCTCTGTCATGAATGAGAGACCATTTATTTAATACTAGGTTGAGTCATCTTTAGCTGAAGAGGTAGCAATTAATCTTTATAAAAAGATAGAATATCTATATAACTATAGTGGGACCGAAGAGAATTCTCAATAAATATAATACAGAGAGCCTAGAGGCACTCTTTTAATAATGGATAGAACATTTGATCTCATTTCCCCTTTGGTTCATGATTATCATTATCAAAGTGTTAGCTATGATTACTTAAAAATACCGGAGGATGGATGTCTCGATAGTCTTATAAAGATATAAGAAAGTGATTAGAGGTAAGCAGCATCAGAGGCCTCAAAGAAATTAGATGAATAAGACTTAGTCTGGCAGAAATATAAATCCTTGCACATTGCTGAGGTATTCGGATTTCTTCAGGATGAGATCAAATAGTTAAAGCAGGACTAAACAAATATGAAAAGGCTAGCTGATAAAGAAGAATTGCATCATGATGATATCCAAAAAATATTGAAATAGATTCCAGAGTTTGAAAAGAGAAAGACTTAGGTGTTAATACATTTGGATTTAGCTTAACAAGTCACAGATAAAATGTAAAATCCTAAGTTCAATGTAATGAAGCTAATTGAATTCGAATAAACTATTATTTCTGGAATGAATGATTAGGGCTAAAAAATGAACGATAACTTCATTACTAAAGAACTTATGAATATATTGAAGACACTAGGTAGAGCTGAAGATAAATTAAGGATTCTAAGCGTGTATCTCCTCTGTTACGCTCTACCTGAGCCAGATTTCAAAACAGTTTTGAAGTTAATGGATACGAAAGAACAAAGAGATGTGCTTAAATTCATAAGAGATTACAACTCTCAAGAGATTCCAAAGAAGCCTAAAAGGACTTATCCAGTTTTGAGTGGCTAGGAGTTCACTGAATACAAGAGAAAGTACACTTAGGAGATCTAAGAAATGTATGACATCTTAAGAACATAGCCTTAAATAGTTAAAATAGCTAAAGAAGCATTGAATAAGAGTTTAGACCTCAAAGCATTTCCATTTATGGGTGATGAAAAGTAATAGCAATCCTAGAGAAACGCTAAATGGGCTAAAAAGGACGGAGATGCTGATGATGAAAGATTGATTATTTGTGTGCTTGGCGGTCTTTCTCATTATGAAATTTGCTGTTTACAAAATCTAGAGAAGATTAATGGCTAGCAGAATATAATCATAGGATCCACTCAAATTATTACTGCTAGAGAATTTATAGACAATATAGTTCCATAAAAAAGAGAAGAAGATAAATAAAAGGATAAAGCTGCAAATGAGGATGAGGAAGAAGTTTTCAAAGAGATGGAGAAAATCAAATAAAAAAGATAGAATGCTAAGTAAAAGAAAGCAGGGGCCAAGAAGTAACCTGATCAGAAAAGAGGTCAAAGGCGAAAAACAACAGAAGACGATGATGAGGATGACGATCAAGATGGAGATGTAAATGATTAAGATAGCGACGATGATGAAAATAAGAAATATAAGAAACAAGCATCAGGTAAAAGTGTCAAAAGTAAAGATATTGGCAAGAAGCCAGTATTATCTTCAAAAGGGAAAAAGGGTGGTAAAAAGGAGGCAGTGGATTTAGATGACATTGAAGTATAGAATAAATCTGATAGTGATAATGATGATGAAGTAGATACTGGAAATAAGCGAGGAAACTCTGAAAGTGAAGATGATGAGGAAAAATAAAAGAAAAGTAAGAGGTCAAAGCAGAAAAAATCATCCAATAAGAAAAATAGATGAGCTAATTGACGAGAAAGCATTTGACTATGAGAGTAAATGATTTTAAAATGATCTAGTAGTATAAATTTAGCTCGAGTTGATTGACTGATAAAATTAATATTTTAATTGTTAGGAATTAATTTAAATTTGAAAATATCAGAAAAGAGGTTAGCAAGTTTATATTTTATAAGAGTTAAGTAAAATGAAAAAATCTCATTAGCATACAAGATCCTCTGCAAGCTTTCCAATCTTCGCTGTTTCGATGTACACTCAATTTACACCTGCAGAGGTGTTTGATCTGCGATGCGAGTATGAGGTTCCTCGTTTTCTAGATCTTAATAATCTTGATTATGACTCCAAAGGCTATGATATCAAGTACAATCAAGGAATCACCTAGGAAGATGAATTTTTCTAATGGTTCTAAATTCCTCATGATTTCAAGGTAAATAAAAAAATGGTGAATGCGACTAAGGATTAAGTAGTGAAGTACTTGCCTCCAAAGATGCCCTAGAAGAGTACTACAAAGTTATAATAAAAAAAGACTAGTACTATGGTGAATAACATATCTCTGTCATCAAACGCTACCTCGATCCCCAATGAAACTACTAAGATTACAGAAACACAATAATCGTTAAATTCTGTCAAGAACTCAGGTTCTTAAACAGATAGAAATATCATGAGTTCCAAGAATAGGACCTCACGTAATTAGATATCGAGGACTAAATCTTAAATTATGTAATATGGCATCTCGAAACAGACAAATACATCTCTGAAAAGTTTAGACGTCAATCCTAATTTAAGCCATTCAAACTCTAATACAAACCATAATATCCATCAAAATCATTCAAGCAATGCCAAATCTAATCTAAGCAAGTAAAACCAAAACAATCAAGGAATTAACAGTCAACTATCTACTTCCCAAATTGTTATTTAGTCAGTACCTCAGTAACAGATATTTTAGAAAACTTAAAGATTGCATCATTAGCAAGCGAAATCATAGATCGATAACATCATGATAGATTTAACGACTGTTAACACTAATGGATCGACATCAACAACAACTACATAAAATGTTAAATCTATATCTGCGGCTAACAGTGCAATAGCTACAAATATGATCGTTAAAAAACAAAAATAACAAGTCTAAATATAGTAATAGATACAGGCTTAAGCTAAGATGTAGTATCAAGAGAGAATAGGGAATCAAACATCAAGAGAACGTTAGTAATCTAGAACTGCTTTGAGTAAATCGAGAGTGGATTTCATATCTTAAAACAAAGAGCGAGTGAAAATTATTTCAGCCAGCTCAAAAACTAGGAAGTAGAGTGCCCATCATAACAATTCATTGACGTAAAACAACTAGAGTCAAGGAAGTGCTAACAATAATCATAATATGATCTACTTTTAAAACGTTATAATAGAGGAGAATCAGAATAGTAACAAAATTGGCCTTTAGTAAACTAAAAGTATTAGTCAACTAATGAAATAAAAATCTCAAGTCTCTCATTAGAGTAGTACAAATCATCAATCAAATACAACTTTGGCGACAGCCACTAGCACAGCAAGCAGAAATGCTAAAATGACTATCAAGTAGGCTAAGCAACATACATCAAGGGATCTCAGTAAAATGGATCATACAACGTTAACTGCAAACTTGAGTGCGATGTTAAAAGAACCTTCAAGCGTCAAGAGGAAGAGAAATGGAAGAGTTAATTCACTGATGTGGGGAGGCTGTGCATCCAGTTCTGGCAATTTAATGAATGCCACTTCTGCTAATATGACAATGAACTATGGTCTATCAACTTAAGGTCTCAATCAATAGCCATCTTATAACAAGATTAGTGAAATTGATTTGAGTTCTTCAAACCAACCTTATACTACAAGGGGAGAGATCAAGAATCCTGCAATTATGTAAAATGAAAAGGAGAATTTAATTTAGAGTTAATACCTCAAACAGCTTTTGAAGATGCAGTAAAAGTATTAGCACAGAGGACATCAAAGGAACTAACTGAGTTAAAGTGGAATATCTGGCAAAAGCTTACTTTATAATGATAAGAACACAAACTCATAGACTTCCTTAAGCAAAAACAAAGTCACAAGTAGCTTTAGTAAATTAGGATCGAGTGGGGTGCTTAATGAGACCACAAATGCTAAAAATAATCATCATAGTAAAAAGTCATCAATTAATGGGTATAGCGGCCTGGCTGGTATAGCTGGTGGGTCTTCATCCTAAAGAGACCCCTTGATTTCTAATGTTAACTTAAATAACTTATGAATATCATTGATATATGTTAACTTCAATTCGAATAAATGCTTTATCAAAACAAAAATATTTCAAGCCTCATGGGGTTTTGGGGTTTTGGGGTTTTGGGG